GTAGACAATCAAATATAAGAATAAATACACCGCACTGAGCCTCGAGGGAGGACTCAGTTAGGTTTTAGTATCGTATTTTGATGTGTTTACTACAGCTTGTCGGCGAGTTGGAACCATTCAGGAGCGAGCATGTATTCAACTGTGCTCGTGGCGGTAACTACGGGAATAGCCCAGTGGACCCGGCGGTTGGAAGACTTGTTGGGCGCGCCCGTTGGGGTTGGACCATCGACAGTGTCGATGACAGCTGATAACGTTACTTGCGATGATGGGGTGATGGTTCCCATTCCATATATACCGCTAATAGAGGGACCTTCATATGGTGCACAAGGTATTTAGCGAAATGAAGTTAAATTCTGACCCTAAGTCTAAGTACACGAGAATCTCGCAATCGAGGGCATCTCCGGAAACCATCGGCCCGTATCAGAACCCAAGTTTCTTAGGAGGGGTACCGCCGGGGCAGCTGTAGACGTCTTCTTCTTGGTTGGACAATCCTTGGCAAAATGCCCAGGTTTATTGCAGTTGAAGCAGCTCGTAAATTTCTCTTTCTTCGCAGTGACCGGGGGAGTCGATTCCTTCGCTATTGGAGCAGCCGTAGACGAGAATGTGGTACTCGTCTGGTGTCCTGGTGTACCATGAGATTTCTTGATAGCAAGGCGCGGTGGAGAACGAGAGCGTTTACGGTGTTCATGTCGAGGACGATCTCTGTTATGCTCATCACGCCACGCTTGGTCTTGCCTGTCCTGCTGGTGATCATGCTCACGCTGTTCTTGCTGATTGACGTTGTTGAGATGTCGTTGACGGTGAGCCTGTGAATTCTACAATCCAGAAGTGCGGGTGGTTGTAAAGTCGTTTACACGATTGTTAAGGCGATTCGTAGAGCGCTGGCGCTCACCAGTAGTTGGTGGGAGAGGGACAACGTCAAGGGAAAATCGAGTACCAACCGTGAAAATCATTTGATGGACCCAGTACAAGAACCTGGTAAGCCATCAATCTCATAACTGACTGCCATGAAGGGATGATACAATGTGTCCCTAAAGATCTCACGTACGAAATCACCCACCTCGTCAGCTGCGTGTTGAAGATCTTTACACAAACACGAGTTCGCCAAACTTGGGATGCACCGTGATTAAGCAAATGAGCCTACGGAGGCCTGGGTCTGTGACCAAAGCAAGGAGCATCTTCACTGCCTGAGCCTCCTCTTAATATCTTCGATCACACAGGACGTACCTCTAGCTGTTCTTTATTGAAGAATTTTCACTAGAAGTACTAAGTGTTCATGACCACATGTTTAATTTGTAGATAGACATAAGAACGTAAGTCAAGTTAACACATTAGCTCATATAAATAAAGTTTCATCTGAAGAAATGTTAAAAAAAGAAAAAGACCTATTGGATTTTGGAGATTGGTGGGAAGATCAAAACCTGTAAGTAGTAGTTCAGAGATTAAAAAATTTAGTTTATAATATCCAATATCTATTATCGTCTCAAATAGGTCCAAGTAAATGAGTCATACCAAATACTCAAGCTATTGGAGCCATCAAAGTGAATTTAGAACACTTTGGAAATATTGGAAAAAGAACTTGTATTAAATTAATTTAAATACAAATAAAAACCAATGTGTTATCTAATTTGATCTTGATATTTTAGACTGACCGGAGGCCGTATTTTTACATAGCCCACAGTAGCTGTTAGGACTACGGACGTACGTGAAGGTACGATCTAGTTCGTAAAGCGAAAACCAAAGTAAAACGATTTCGGTCATGGCTTATCGAGTAAGTATGTGCCTATACGTACGAGTTCAAGACTCATGTTGTACTCTATGTCATTTAGTATGTGGTCCAGTAACCATTTCCGATGTAGGCGCCTTAAATTTATTATCATTAGTAAGTAAGTTCGAAGAATTTTCTGCTCTGTTGGTAAGCAAATCAGAAAGTTGTCACATAGGAAGTAGGTGGCAAATAGGGAATTTCAGATCCATCAGGGTTTGTTGTCACCTGAGGAAGCCCTTTCCGTTTATCTCGTGTGTTCTTATATAAACGCTTATTCCATTTCTTATTAAAAATACGAAGGAAGTCGCGAGATTCACGAAACGCATCGGAGGTTGTAGTAAGTGTAACCGTATTAGGATGTTTTGTCAATTATATCTTTGACTTGTGACTCCATAACTGGGACATCAGAATCAAATGAGCGAGCGAATGAGAGTTCGGAGGTAGGGATACGGCGAGTGCCTAGATTAGTTGCGCTAGTACCATCTATGTTATTCACTTTGTAAGTATCACTCTTCTCATCATGGTAGGAAATAACGAAAGGTCCAATTGTCTTAGAAGAGAGTTCGGTAACGTTGGCATTGCGATTTGTAATGTTAACATAATCGCCAACTTTGAACTGAACAATGTTCTCAGTGTTATTCCATCGGTCATACGCTTTAAGTAGGACATGATTTTTGTGCTCGAGTAAACAGGGGTAAACAACGTTCTGCATATGCTCAATCTTTTGTAGCCACGGAGTAGCGTGTTTCTCGGGCGCAGCTTTGTCAAACGTTGCTTGTAATTCACTATAGCGGCCAAAGAAATAGTGAAACGGGAGTGTTTCAGTTTGAGGATTCATGCAGTTATTCATTTGAGTCTGAACCCATTTCAAATGATAAGGCCACATATCCTCAACGTCATCTAGTGCGGTACGCAATAGCTTCTTTAGTTCTCTATGACGTGACTCATTCGCACCCTGCGTTTGAGGTTTATAAGGAACACCACGCCTATGGATCATGCCTGATACGAGTATAAATGGTTCCATTACGTCGGTAAAAAGCTCACTACCGATATCAGAATATAGTACTCGGGGGAAACCAAAGTCATTAAAAGACGTGATAGCATAACTCTGCCACTGTTTGCGGGCGTTTGTTCCGTATTGCATAAAGCAAGTTATAGCCCGAAGCCACACATAAGAAATGACAGATATATACATCGCCAGTATGCTTGGATCGCGGGAGTTTAACCAAATCGACTATGACTCGGCGCATCCAGGGGTGCCCAACCGTAGCGCTTGATCTGGTTCGTTTCACAATAAGTACAGCGTCGGTATACTTCACGTATGGGTTCTTTCAGCGCAGGGTGATCAAGCCCTGAACGAATAGCCATCTTATAAGTATGCTCACATGCTCGATGAGATGAATTGTGTTTTATTTTAACTCTACTCTCGAGCTCTTCTAATTCAGTCAGATTCTGTGTACCGCTGGCTGGACGAACCATAGTCCCGTTAGTTAGGGCAACTTCAGTACCAGGAGAGGTAGATTCCTGAGATACGTAATTAACAACATTAGATTGTTGAAGTATCTTCTTCAGTTGGTTCGCAACTCCTGGCTGTTCTTTAAGCAGCGCTTTAAGTAGTTGAGTGCGAGTTTCAGGTTCTCTTAGAGCTTTGAGTCTTTGATCCATGGCCTTAGCTAGCGGCAATACCTCGACTGCATTCTTGTTGGGTGCATGTGTTGTACGAGTCTTGAGCCCCACTTAGTGGTACCTGCAGGACCGATGCGACAAACGATGGTGAGTTTCCAAGGTGTCGTCTTAATAGAATAGGATCCCTGATATAAGAACGTGTCGGTTTCACGGTCGACATAGATAGGCTCGTCTTGTTTCATATTAATTCAATCACGTATCCATGGGTCGGAGCTACGTAAAGGGCAACACAGCGTAATGGTAGATTTGGTAATATTAACATAATTTAACAACTGTGCGATAAGTTGCCAAGGTGGGTTAGCCCACGCATTATGCTTTGATAAGTCAAGTTGAAAGGCATCA